TCAATGTTTGTTTGTTCTACGATGAAAATAAGTGAAGTGGGATAAGTTTTAAGAAAGAGAAGTTATTTCACACATCTTAAAATATAGTAACATTGTCCTAATATGAATGGTAATATGCTATTTGAAAAACTGAATACATTAGATGGATTCAATGAGATTTAAGCTAAAAACTAATTAAGAACAAATATGGTTAAGGGATCTGCTTGTTTAGAGAGAGTCACCCCTGTAAAACTGTTACTCATTTAGTTTAAATATGACTAATTCAAATAAACTACAATCTGAATAACATTAGTGCTTAAAGTCACTAGCTTGTAGTTTGAGCCATGTTGGTAGATGAAGACTAATTGAATTGGGTCTTTGCGACTATCGTAACCAATGGTTGGAGACTCTTGCTGATATGGCTCAGAATTGATCACAATGACATAGGTGTTATATGCACTCTTTGTCTTCCTATAAACTATGAGATTAAAATCTTTCTTTCTGTACTACATCCTTAAATAAAATCATTCTTTTATAGATTACCACCATTGAATTAACTGCTTCTATGAATCCAGTGTTCATGTTGCTGTGCTAATGAGGTATGGTAACTTGGACTAATGCATATATATATGTGCTTGGTCCTACATAGTAACTGACAGATTAAATGAATGACAATCTGAAAGTGAGTTGTAAAACATACAAATGAGTAACATGTACTTGTTAACATTATGTAATCGAATGTCACATGATTTACATGATTGAAAGTAAACGCTTTACAATGAAAAGTTAAACAAAAATTCAGAAAATGTTTAGCTGAGTTATTAATCTAACATCAGTATAGTACACTACAGCATAGGCCATTCATCAGCATTCTTCATAAAATCCTGTCCTGGGTAATCTTTTCTAGTTCTTCATTCTTTTCATTTCTGCTCCTAATTCCCAACGCAATGTGTTCCTTAGCCTTCCACTTATTCGTTTCCTTTCACAATTCCAAGTTAGGGTTTGCCTCATGATGCAATTTGATAGTTTCCTAAATGTATTCCCTATCCACTTCCAACATCTTTTCTTAATTTACTCTTCAGTTTGAAGCTGGTTTATTATCTCTCATAGTAGGCTGTTGCTCATGCTATTCAGTCAGCGGATATTAAGTATCTTATATAAACAAGTGTTTATAAAGACCTTTACATTTTGATGGTGATTTTAGCAGTTCACCAAGTTTCTGGAATTACATATGGACATTAATAATTATTCGAGGATCGGTTGAAGTTAGACATTAATACCATTGTATGCCAGCTCATTGGTCTAGAGGTTAAGCGTTCGTGTGACAGACAGAAGGTTCTGGATTGGAGTCCTGCAAACGAAGTCGTAGATGTGCACTGATGAAGAGTCTCATACTAGGACGAAACAAAAATCCAATGCTTCTAGGTTTTCCATTGTGATCTAACTATAATTTGCTAATGAAATCAATCTGTTTAAGTAACTGTACTGGTTATAAAATTAATTGTACTTGAGAGTAAAAGTTATGCCTCAATACACAAAAAAGATAAAGAAAGATCCTTAAATAAAACACGGAAAACACCAACACAAGTACACTTGATAGAGATGCTCTAGAAGATGTGAAATTTTTTATGTACGTAAGCAAAATCATTGATAAAGAAAAAGGATCTGATTGAAATATGAAAGTGTGGATCGGTAAAGCAAGAGCCACATTCTTATAACTGAAGAACATCTGGAATTCAAAACAACTGTTTGTCAACCAACACCAAAGGCAGAATTCTAAATACAAATGTGAAGACAGTTCTACTGTATGGAGCTGAAACTTGGAGAACCACTAAAGCCATCATCCAGAAGATACAGGTGTTTATCAAAAGTTGTCTATGCAAAATACTTCGGATCCGTGGGTCGGACACTATTACCAACAACCTACTGTGGGAGATAGCAAATCAGATTCCAGTGGAGGAGGAAATCAGGAAGAAGCTCTAGAAGTGGATAGGACACACATTAAGGAAAGCACTCAACTACTTTACAATCCAAGCCCTCACATGGAATCCTCAAGGTCGAAGGAGGAGAGGAAGACCAAAGAATACATTACTCTGAGGAATGGAGATAAACCTGAGAAGAATGAACAAGAAGCAGATAGAACTGGATAGGAAGACCGAGGATAGAATGGATTGTAGAATACTGGTTGCCAGCTTATACTCCATTGTATATAACAGGCATAAGTAAGTAACCTTAAGTATCAACTACAAATCATAATTTTTATTCATCACACAGATATATAACCCTTATTGAACTGTAGTATGTAGGTGGACATTCTGAAGATCACCTACTCTTCACTTATTAGTCTCACTATAATTTGAAAACAACTGCTATCCTTGTGTCAAAATAATAAAAAAAAAGAAGAAAGAAAGCGAGAGAAAAACACACACACACACACCGAGAAATTTAAAGCATCAACTTTTATTTTAACCAATGTGATTTTCTTTTATTTTTTTTCTCTTTTTTTTATATTTTTCCAGTAAAATCATATTCATGTTTTACTTGAATTTCATTGACATTTATTCAATGACAACGAGAAAGGAGGGGAGGAACCATTTAAGCTAACATGATATTTATGTTACATACTTTGCTTTTTTTTTCTTTTTTTTTTTTATCTTCATAAACATAGAAACCATTAATGATAATGATTATTAGTAATTGAACACAATGTATGTGCTACCATTTGTGAACAAGAACAAGATTCGGTGACCAAAGACCACTAAGCTAGATATTCTGATGCGTCTCAGCCCTAGCTATCTAGAGGGAGAAGTTCAAGCTTAGAATGGGAATTATATTCTGCAAACAACCAGAAAACGTGCGATTTTCAACGAAAAGAAACAATTTAAAGCGTATTTATAAAAATACATATAATCGATATTACATGGTGGTTACAGGTAGTCGACAGGAAACCCTGGACCCGGGTTTCGTGCTACTTGGCACTCATCAGCAAGGTGTACCTGTAACCTTTGAGGGAACTGGTGATCCCCGGCGGATTCGGTCTCGTGTCACCCAGCTTCACAGTCACAGAAGTTACCACTGAGCTATCCAGCCCGCGACCGACCTCCTGTAGGACTGAGATGTAATCACAATTGATTGATCACTGGGTGGTGATCAATGTCATGCGTGTCTAGTCCTTATTATTAGTGTAGATCGAATTCTTTCGACCGCCTCCGCCAGGGAGTACCAGTTCCCTCAAAGATTACAGGTACACTTTCCTGACGAGTGCCAAGTAGTATGAAACGCGGGTTCACGGTTTCCTGTCGACTACCTCCAACCACCATCTAATCTCACAATAGTGCCGGCAGTGTCGAGTCATCTAGACTAGTGGCCACATTGCAGCATGGTCAACAGAATTCGATCTGCACTAATAGTAAGGACTAGACACTCATGACATTGATCCCCTCCCAGTGATCAATCAATTGTGATAATCAATATCGTCATATAAGTTCTTTTGAACATTCATGAATAAATTCGTCAATAGACTACCATTCGAATATATAAACATTAAGTAAATCGATAAATTAATCGATAAAAGAAAATTACAAAATGTGAATTTATTTTGGGGGGATCTACCGTCCCCAACAGTAAGAAATACTATTTATGATCTAGTTGGAAAAATCAAATTTTTACGTTACAAACTATCAGTAGTTTTTATGTTGTGTATTACTGATTTCAATAGATATAAGTGGTATCTATTATCAAATCGAAAGTGAAATATCTGGAGGTAAAAGATCAAACAAAAGTGAATGAGAATAAAGATTGATCGGTGTGGAAGTGAAGGAACAATCAAGTATGAGACATTCTGTACATGAATTATTTGCTGTATGATTGTCAGATTTTACTAAAAGATTGTGCAATTCAAATGTTCAAATACATTTGAGTTGTCTTCACTTGATGTTGTCGTCCAGTACACTATTGAAAATGTGGAAACACTAAACGACTGTTACATTCATTAATGTCCATTAAAACTATTGGATGTCAGCTTAGTGATTTAGAAATGAAGTATTCAGTGCTTTCAAGTTTTTATTTTGCATTCATTGTCTAACATTGATTCATTCATGGTTGATACTTTGTAAATGAATCAGTCTCTAATTAAATAGGGGTCAATTAATCTTAATGATGTATTAATCTAATTGTTTTTATAGAGTTTATATTCTCATCATTTCACATAACAACACCAACAACAACATCTTTTACATTGATCTTTTCCTTTATTCCATTATTACTATTAATATGGTTATTGATGATTTATATATAGATATATACGTATAAGCAAAGATGAATAGTGGTTAACAGTGGAATCCAGGACGCATTCTATTTGAGACCCGTCAGCTGGATGTACATGCATCTCAGATTTGATGATTGTTTCGGGACTCGAACCCAGTATCGTTTGCTTTAAACGCTATCGCGTTATCTACTTAGCTAATGAGTCCTGATAGCCTATTGCTAGAAAATTTCCATCTTTATTTAAAAAAGCTTGTGACTTAAGACTATATTGAGGCAATCTGCACAGGATGCACGTATGACAACAAGAGACCATTCAATTGTAGTTCTAAATAACAATGGGACGATTCAAGTAAAACAACACTAAATGAACATATACGTATAGATATAGATATATATACCTTAAATCGTGAAATAAACTGCTATGGATACTTCACTTTGTATTGTTTTATTTGAATCTTCCTAGCTGATGAGTCCCAAATAGGATGAAACGCGAGTCCTGGATTCCATTGCTTGCCACTATCCATCTTTGCTTATAATGCTTGTAAGTTAAGGCAATATCGAGGCAATACGCACAGTATGCACATATATGCCAATATGAGACACTGATCAATTGCAGTGCTAAACATCAATGGGAAGATTCAAGTAAAACAATATCAAGTGAATTGAACTTCACCCGATTGCACAAGCAAGTGGCTATCAGGACTCAGTAGGTAAGTGGATAACGCGATGGCGTTTGAAGCGGACGGTACTGGGTTCGAGTCCCACAGTGAACATCAACTCTGAGATGCAGGTACATCCAGTTGACGAGTCCCAAATAGGACGAAACGCGCTTCAAACTGGATTCCCTTGCTACCCACTATCCATCTCTCCGATGGATACATTTCTCTTCCCTGCTCCCCCTCTTCCATCCTAGACTAATATTAATTAGTTAATTACATTTATTTATATACATTTAATATTTAATCATTGTTCAATTGTAACCATTTTATTTTTCTATTTATCCTTGATCATGCATTATGATTGGTCAATGTGTGTATCAATGACCTTGAGTGTGACAATTTTATTTTTATAAATAGTTAAGTTTATAAATTACTGTCTTGATTACGATTATCCTTATCATTAGTAGTAGTAGTGGTACTGGTAGTAGTGGTAGTAGTAGCAGTAGTACAGTGTTGTATGTTTTCCATCAAACTGATTCTCATTACATAAAGGAAGATTGTTGTTAACCTATTGAGACATAAAAAAGAAAAAAGAAGAACAAACACAGTCTGGATTATTCATACAACTTACAATAGAGTTAATCTATATGAAAGAATAGTGAAAAAAACAAGAGGGAAGGTTTTCCCCTTTTATGAAAAAATAAAAAACACACGTCTATATATATAGATATACAAGACCGGTGAATTATGTTTTTACATTTTTTTTTCTAGAAAAAAAAGTAAATTTTATCTCAGTTTCAAAGTTTATTGGACAATGGACTAGTTTTATTTTGTTTGTTTTTCTCTGTTGCTGCTTAGTTACTGTCTATAACGATTAAAAAAAAAAGAAAAGAAAGAAAAAGAAAAGAAAAAAAAGTAAAACATAATAATAATAATAATAATCATATATCAAATTTAATTCACTTACAAACCAAAAAAAAAAACATTCTGTAAAGGAAAAATTAATTAATGTGAATTAAAAATAAAAGAAATTGAATGGAATAGTGTTGTAATGATTTTTGAGAAACTTCAAAACATTGAACCATTGAAATTATTGAATATTGAATCATCGAACTCATTGAATATTGAATCATCGAACCCATTGAACATTGAATCATTGAATATTGAATCCTGGAACACATTTAATATTGAATCCTTGAACACATTAAATATTGAATCGTTGAACTCATCGAACATTGAACCTTTGAACGCATTAAGTATTGAACAGTTGAAAACATTGAATATTGAACCATTGAACTCATTGATTATTGAATCATCGAACATTGAACCTTTGACATCATTGAATATTGAATTATTGAATTTACTGAATATTGAACCATTGAAATTATTGAATATTGAATTAATTATAAGTTCTATAATAATTCATTTAATTGTTTTCATGTTTTGTATAAAATTTAAAACAAATCCTCATCCTCCTCCTCATTCTCCTCCTTCTCCTCCTCCTCCTCATCATCATCATCATCATTATAAATTATCATTAAATAAATTGAATGAAATTGATAAAAATGAAAAATTCAGTTTAATAAAAAAAAATTCAAAAAATGTATTACGCAATCATAAATTATTATGTCATTGTAGAGAAGATCAATTAAGGTAAGTTTCCAATGGTAACTCATTGATTGATTCCCTTTGTTCATGATAAATATTATTGATTATTATAATGGAATTATGGTTAAGATAAAATGAGTAATTATTTTATTTATTTGAACATATATATATAGATTGGTATTAGGGGGTCTCTGGATATATATGTGCCAAATAAGTCACTCGATTTGTGTGTGTGTGGGGGGGGCTGTGATACTGACTGGGTACCTAAACCGAATCAGGTGGTTTTCTTAGAGGACGAAACCTGAAGCCTTTGACCTACAGGTCTAATCTACAAGGTAGGGTTACGAGATGCAGTCGGTGACAAACAATACGTTCATACAGACACCAATTGTCCGTTTAGGATACTGGAGACCATATGAATCATTGATTTGGAATCATGATTTTTGAATTTCTTTACATGAACCGTACGTTTTCACCAACTTAGTTAAAGCGCCGGATATTCACTTTTCGTTAACAATATCTGAAGTGCGAGAAATCAGTGAATAGGGCGTCTCTAACAGTGGCTGTATACACCTGGTCATGTGAAAGCATTTCAGGAGGGAGAGCTGATTCTCCCCACTCTTGGCTGTTCAGGATATTTGTGGTCAAACTAATACGTTTTGAAAATAGATTTATTCGTCAAATTTTAAAATTAATGTAGTAATTAAGAATTCCGCAACTAATAAGTAGTATAGATCATTTGTTCTGATAATGTTAGATGGTTAGAGGTATTTAGAATTTCACTATCTGGTTCATAAATATTACAAATAGTGTTTATCTCAATCGGTGTATATTTTCTTCAATATAAAAGTCACAAAAAGATAGATAGATAGATAGATAGATAGATAGATAGATAGATAGATAGATAGATAGATGTGTAGATAGATAGATAGATAGATAGATAGATAGATAGATAGATAGATAGATAGATAGATAGATAGATAGATAGATAGATAGATAGATAGATAGATAGATAGATAGATAGATAGATAGATAGATAGATAGATAGATAGATAGATAGATAGATAGATAGATAGATAGATAGATAGATAGATAGATAGATAGATAGATAGATAGATAGATAGATAGATAGATAGATAGATAGATAGATAGATAGATAGATAGATAGATAGATAGATAGATAGATAGATAGATAGATAGATAGATAGATAGATAGATAGATAGATAGATAGATAGATAGATAGATAGATAGATAGATAGATAGATAGATAGATAGATAGATAGATAGATAAACAGACAGACAGAGTAAAATCCTTATTTTTTTGGTTACTATCAATAGAGATCTCACTTTAAAATCTATATTCTTCGGTTAAGTGAATTGTAAAGTTTTGGTATTGAATAATAGTCCATAAAAAATAATTGATTATCAGAAAGGGGTTTTGTACATATTATAGTAATTTAATAGTTGAATTCACAAGTCCTGGATTCGAATCCCACGATCGGGATCGTGGTGATGTACTGCTAAGAAGTCCTATACTAGAACAAAACGACCATCCAGTGCTTCCATGTTTTTCATTGTAATCTAGTTTTCATTGACTAATTAACTTAACTATTAAATTATTTTATTACTCAATAAAGTCAATAATAACGATAATGAAATTTAAAACGAGTGTTTTATCCTCTTTAAAATTCATCATCTACATTTGCCTATTTCTCATTGTTAATGTTCATAGTAATACTGAAAGTCGTTAGTTATTTGATAATTGAGTTATAATAGATATCGATCTATTCAATAGGTAACATCATGGTGATGCACTGCTAAAGAGTCCCAAACTAGGACGAAACGACTATCCAATGGTTCTAGGTTTTCAATAGTGATGTCTAACATCAATGAATTCATGATTTCAATAAAAAAGAAACGTAACAATCTTCACAATCACATACAAACAATTATGTTATTTACAAAAGATTTACATTTCCTTTTGTTGATATTCTTCTTTAATTGATCAAACTATATCTACATTCAATGTTGATGCATTCACTTAATGAATCCATATTACTGTTAGTGTTTTCTCATCGAATTCCATAAATGATCTATTCGGTAACTAAAATAGTCAAGAAATTTGATTGATTAGTTGGTATTCAGAATGGAGAATGGATTGAGAATGCTGGTGAGCGGCCTATGCTCCTTCACGAGGAGTAACAGCCGTAAGTAAGTAAGTAAGTAAGTAAGTATTCAGAATGTGACGAGTATCGACAAGTTGTGCAAAGCAATGCAAAGCAATTACTAATACAGACAAATACAATTCTAAAATTGGATATTTATATTACCATAATTAGAATGAAAGCAAGTTCTTGTCATATGAAACTCTATTGAAAAATCAATATCCGTTTCATTTAGTTATAGAACATTAAACGACATGTTTAAACTAACAGTCTATCGCTTTATTAAGTAGTCTCTAATAGCTCATTAAACATTTAAAATAATCATTGAGGCTTAATCAGATAGATAGATAGATAGATAGAAAAAAACAAAACAAAACAAAACAAAAAAATCAATCAATCATTTGTAACTAACCTTAATCACAACATAATCGAATAATGTGATGATGAAAAGTTTATTTCAAACGTTAACTGAATGTAAGATTTCATACACATAGTTCCCTTCTATTATTTTAAAGAGAGCAAGAACAAAGATTGGTGCAAAAGAATAATAAATCGATTCATTTTTTATTTCGTTAGATTCTCATCAGCTGCTTACAACCTAAAAATATTTGAAATTCAACGTTATTAGAGAAATTGACATACTTAGACGTAAGAGGATGATGAAGGATGAACATGATGTAGCAAAGATTCTGTTAGAGATAATGAGGTTATAAAATTTGTTTCGAATATATAGAGTTTGGGAGGGAAGGTTTCATAACATATAGAAATAGTGATTAGAACTCATGGAATTAAAACACATTAGTTGATTATGTAATGAAGTAACACTGAAAATAGATTAATGGTAATAAAAAGAGATATGAATTGAAATTGGTCAGTTATGAATGATGTAATTATAATAATCAGAAAGAGTTGGAATGATGTAATAAATAAAAGAGGGGTTAATGTTACCAGGACAAAGAAAGATTTATTATTGTTTCTTTTTGTATACAAAGATCTGGTTTTAAACGTTTGATTGCTATCGCTTCGGCAAATTTTAAAAGGTTGGAATTTGATTGTTTGTTGATCACCTTGAAGAACTTCAGTATATCGATTTCGTGTCCTGTGTCAAGGAGATGTCTTGCGATAGCACTGCTGAATGTTTTTGGTCCGTTTGATCTCAAACCCTTTGGAATATGTTCTTTAAATCGGATGTAGGCTCTCCTTTCTGTTCTACCAATGCAACTGCTTTGGCAGATACATGTAAATTTGTATACACAGTTGGTGGTAACATGAAAGGGATATCTGTCGACCTTTGATTGTGTCAAAGAACATGTTGTTTTGGACAGGACAATCAATTTAGCTGCTGGATATGTTTTTGTCAATGCAGTGTTTAGTCTCTTATTGATTGACCCTGTGACATTATCACCTTTGAATCTGAGTTCAATTAAAACAGGTTTTTTATTTACAGTAGTTTCTTTTGGTATTTTATCTTCACGTTTTCCGTATTTCTCAATAAATTTCAGCGGGTATCCGTTATTCCTTAAACACTTTTTAATATTCATAACTTCTTCTTCTATTGTATCGGCAGTACATATTCTTTCTGTTCTATGAAACAATGTTTTGACAAATGCCTTTTTATAATTGATTAGACAGAAGCTGTAAGATGTAAGATGATCATTTATCATTGATCAAAGCCTATCTAGATGATGTTTCAATAAATTTTTGGTATGTTTTTCGAGTACTTTGAAAATACTTCCTTGTTTTTTGTTCCATGAAACGAAGTAACTGATCTACACAAATACAATTAGTTAACTCTTCAAACGTACAGAACAAGTAGATTTATGATCCTAGTGATTATTATTATTATTATTAACTTTATTTAATATAAGACATCAGCATAACAAATTCCTTGTTTTTTATTTCTTGATCCATCCGGACGATAACATATTGACTGAATGCCAGTTAGATGCTGACAGTTTAATCAATCGACTTCTAAATAATAAGGTTTATTCTTTTCAATGAATATTGCCATCAATCAAGATATCTCTGATTGAGCTTGTTTCTAACTTGTACAATGAAACGTCGTAAATGTTTCATAATAGGCCAGATATTCAAACAGGTCACCTAGTTTACACATTTATCTACCTTGTCAACATTATGAAGTGACACTAAATTTGTCTAGTTTACAGTATAAATTAAGTATATTGATTTAGTACTACTACTACTACTACTACTACTACTGCGACTACTACTACTACTACTACTACTACTACTACTACTACTACTACCATCACTCTTACTACTACATTCAGCATTTTGATAATCTAAGCTTTCACAAACATCTTATATTCATAATTATCTGCGTATTATTAATCATTTTTACCATAAATTCTTGAGACAATGATCGAACTAAATAATTTCTAGGGTGAGATGTAGTTTCGTCGTTGGCAATTGATAATGAATGATTAATTACTTACGCCTGTTACTCCTTGTGAAGGAGCATAGGCTGCTTGCCAGCATTCTCCATCCAACCCTGTCCTGGGCAATCCTTTCAAGCTCTCTCCAGTTACTACTCATCCTTTTCATATCCGCTTCTATTTCCCGACGTAATGCGTTCGTTGGCCTTCCTCTTTTCCACTTCCCTTCAGGATTCCAAGTTAGCGCTTGTTTCATGGTGCAGTTTGATGATTTCCTCAATGTATGTCCTATCCAGTTCTACCGTCTTTTCCTAATTTCCTCTTCTGCTAGAAGTTGGTTTATTCTCTCCCACAGAAGGCTGATGCTGATGGTATCCGGCCAATCGATGTTGAGTATCTTGTATAGGCAGCTATTGATAAATACTTGTACCTTCTTGATGGTGGTTGTAGTAGTTCTCCAAGTTTCAGCTACGTACAGTAGAA